TATCTCTTCGGCGTCTGGCAACACGGCGGAGCCACCACCTCCTTCACCACCCCCTCCAACTTGGGCTCAACTCTCTCTTGTGTCCTCCCCGAGAACACCACCACTTCTATAGCCACCACCGCGTCAAAAACTTCCAACTCCAAGGCTTTAGACTTCAGCTCCCACCACTCCGCCGACGACCGAGGGATAGGTAAGGTTTCCGATGGTTCCGCCAAGATTTACCCACCGTGCGACGTCAAGTACAGTGAGTACACACCTTGCGAGGACCCCAAAAGGTCGTTGAAATTTTCAAGGTCCCGGTTGATATATAGGGAGCGGCACTGCCCGGCGAAACACGAGTTACTCAAGTGTCGGATACCGGCGCCTTACGGGTACAGAAACCCGTTCAAGTGGCCGCTGAGCAGGGATCTGGCGTGGTACGCCAATGTGCCGCACAAGGAATTGACGGTAGAGAAGGCCGTACAGAACTGGATACGGTACGAGGGCGACCGGTTTAGATTTCCTGGTGGCGGGACCATGTTCCCCAACGGTGCTGATACCTACATTAATGATATTGGAAAGTTGATCAATCTCAAAGATGGCTCTATTAGAACAGCTATTGATACCGGCTGCGGGGTAACTTTGCCTACTCTTTAATTTTTCAAGATTCCCTTTTTTATTATTTTTGGGGGAGAAGAAGGGGGGGGGGTGGAGGAGGAAAAAGCAGGGACAATCTCGTTTAAATGGTTTAATTGTGGGCATGTTTCCAACAATCCATCCGCCTCCGCCTCCGCCTCCGCCTCCGCCTGTTTGTCTGCTTGCATGTACTCCGCTTTTTGAATGGATAATTTCGCATTAATTAGGCTTGATCAAAGATTATGCGGATCTAATCTGTAATTGTTGTTTCTAGGATGGGGACAAATTAGGAGGAATGATTTTGATATCTAAAGTTGGGGTTTTGTGAATAAGGGATACTTTAGGTGAGTGGCTTGTTTAGCCTTTTTTTTTTCCCCTCAAAGTACATGAACTTGAAAAGCAAAATTGAGTAGCTTCCTTGTATGGCTAGAATATTGACTGATGCAAGTCATGTCTTGTGGACTAACAACTCACCGACTGTCTGATGCGTCGAGGCAAAACAGATTGATAAAAATAAGAGGGGGGTCGGTTTGTCAGAAAGACAGAAATTGTGGGTAGGGTCAAAGACTGAGGGTAGTAAGGGTACCCGAACCAGCTTTTTTAGATCTCAACTTGCGGGAAGGAATCAGATATTCTATTTGTGGATACGAAGTCCATGCACAAACTCTCGAAGACACGTGGCAATGACGGCATTGTATGCTTGTCTTCACATTCTTCAGTTCTTGAACTCTTCAAGAAAAATCCATTTTCCATTTACATTCTTCAGTTCTTGTCGTAAGAGTTGATTGAATTATTTGGGATAATATATATAAAAAATCAATCAAAATTAATAACTACATGTTTAAATATATTTATATATATATAAAATCCAGAATCTGGATAATATTCACGGTCGTCTTACGTTTTTTATGTTATGATATAAATGTACTAGGTTGCAAGTTGGGGAGCTTATCTTTTGTCCAGAAATATTCTTGCAATGTCATTTGCACCGAGGGATACACATGAAGCCCAGGTGCAATTTGCTCTGGAGCGAGGAGTTCCTGCTTTAATTGGAGTTCTAGCCTCCAAGAGGCTCCCTTATCCTTCTAGGGCTTTTGACATGGCTCATTGTTCTCGCTGCCTCATTCCTTGGGGCCAATATGGTAATTTCGAATGCCACAGGAGCTGATAATTATATGATTTTCAAGCGTTCTGCACAAGGATCAAGAAGAATTAGGAATTATTGGATTTACAATTGTTCATCATGAGATACCGAGTTTATATTTTAGACTACCGTGTTTTTTGGAAATTAATTTGTTGGGGATTTTTCTTGGGCAGATGGGGTTTTCTTAACTGAAGTTGATAGAGTTCTAAGGCCCGGAGGATATTGGATCCTGTCTGGTCCGCCCATCCGCTGGAGAAAATACTGGAAAGGCTGGCAGCGGACAAGGGAGGATTTGAACAAGGAACAAACTGGAATCGAGCAAGTAGCTAAGAGCCTGTGCTGGAAAAAGTTGATGGAGAAGGACGATATTGCTATCTGGCAAAAACCAGCTAATCATATGCAATGCAAAAAGCTCAAGAAGGTTTATAACAGTCCTGCATTCTGCCCCAATCAAGATCCTGATAAGGCCTGGTTGGTGTTTCTCCAAGGATGATGAATGATTAGCAGAATCTGGAAATGCAAAATTTATCGTATTTGTTCATTATGCTAACCTTTCTTATGCTGACACCCATTTTCAGGTACACCAATATAGAGACTTGTTTAACGCCCTTGCCTGAAGTTTCTGATGGCGAAGAGATTGCCGGTGGACGGTTGGAAAAATGGCCAAAGAGATTAAATGCAATACCACCTAGGATCAGCACGGGAACTGTAAATGGGATCACCCCACAAACTTTCCAGAAAGACTCCCAACTCTGGGAGAGGAGAATTTCATACTATAAGACTGTTAATAACCAACTTGGACAAGCTGGAAGGTACAGAAATTTACTGGACATGAACGCATTCTTGGGTGGATTTGCTGCAAGTTTGGTCAAGGATCCTGTTTGGGTAATGAATGTAATTCCCGTTGAGGCCAAGGTCAACACGCTTGGTGTAATATATGAACGAGGATTGATCGGGACTTACCAGAGCTGGTATATCACCATATTTATTGACTATACAATTTATCTGCCTTTTATTGTGATTTTCCACCTAATTAGTTTTTTTCTCCTTGCAAATAATTCTGGTACAGGTGCGAAGCAATGTCAACTTATCCCAGAACTTACGATCTCATTCATGCTGATTCAGTATTCACTCTCTACAAAGATAGGTTAGTTCCCTAACTCTGCATCATTGTTGCAAATTAAACCCTAATACGGCCAAGGACCATACGCCAAGAATTTTTTCATGAGCGACAATTTTCTGATTTTTTGACATCCAATTTATGACCCAGGTGTGAAATGGAAGACATTCTCCTGGAAATGGATAGAATTTTAAGACCCGAAGGAAGTTTAATCATTCGTGATGATGTAGATATATTGGTTAAAGCAAAGAGGATAGCAGATGCCCTGAATTGGGATAGTCAGATTGTGGATCATGAAGATGGACCATTGGAGAGGGAGAAGCTTCTTTTTGCTGTAAAATCATACTGGACAGCCCCAGCGTCCTCTGATTAAGACGATAGTAAAACGTCATAGGGGACTGACTTTCCCTTTTTTCTTTTTTATTGGGTTCTTCATTTTTCCCGGAATTTTGCTAAATTTTATTTCTTAAATCTTTGATGTTACAATTTTACTGATTCTTTAGCATTTGATTTTGTTATCATCCTCAACAGTGCCGTTGTATACACAGTTCAAAAAGTCTGAAAACCAGTGAGACGTTTGGAATTTAATGTGATTGTGGGAAAGAGTGATTGTACGTCATAGACCATTATATCAGTTTTGTTTGTATTTGCCAGACATTATTGTTATTGGAGCATGCAATTGATTAAATTTTGTAGAAGTAAATTGTCACCAAAAACTTACCGAAGGAGTACAAAAATAAATGAAATAAAAAAATTGGAATAGTAAGATACGGACTGTCAGATCACTTATTCCAAAACCAAATTGCTTGTGTGTCGGTTTAAAAAGTTTTGCGTCCTTTCATGCTCTTTATTTAATTTATTGGCGTTTAGCAGAGTTGCCTTTTTCTTGGTGGCCTTCATTTATAATAACCTTCTTGTTTGGATTGAAGTTTCTCTGCAGAAAAATTTTTACGGACCGTGATCATATTTTTAATTATCTTTTCACCCTACGTATGTCAAATTGTTACAGTAATTTTTTTATAATACGAAAGAATGATTTTCAATCTTCTTTTAGGGAATGTAGCATCATCTATGAGGGACAGCCGCAGAGCAGTTTTATTTTCGAAGATATGCTATTGATCTAACTTTTGGTAATCTTGTAAAAAAGAACGGCTTTCAAAAAGTGATTTCAAAACTTGTAACATCTTCACGTTATTCTCTTAGAATGAATGGGGACCTTTCTTTCTGAAGTAATTAGCACTATTGATGAATGCTTCGTGAAAAGCAATAATTTTCTTCAAACTTTAGCTTCCTAGTTGCCTTCTCCCAGAAGGAAAACCCCACCAAAAAAAAAGCAACTTTTCTTGTTTCGAAATTACACATCATCTCATGCATCTTTTACCCAGATGGAATCTCAAATTATTATGCTATGCTATCAGTTCCAGCCTCCAGCATTACTTTTCAAATAAGAGCTCAAGAGACTGATTTGTCCATGATGCACACTCGTTTTTAACACCCAGCAATTGGTGGATTCCACATTTCCACCATCCCAAATGTCAATTAATTGATGCCATATCTTAAGCAAAAGCAAGGTTTTGAGCCCTTTTTTTTTTTTTTTTTTGAAATATAAGGCCATCGGCAGCTGCAATCTGTAGATAAGATCATCGGAGTGTTCGTCAATATTAATGCTTCCACCCTCTGCAGGACACTTTTCTCAATTCATGGTGGCTGTCAACCCACAGTTTCGCGTGGAGATCCGGGTTTGGCGATTTTGCTGCTTACTATACCCTAGGGAGATTGCATTAAATGTATCAGCAAGCAGAAAAAAAGAAATTTTTTTTAATGTTTGTAAATAATTTGATAATGGGAGCGATTATAATGTGGAAATCTGCTCCCAAACTAAAATATTGGAAAATGGCAATGCTGAGAACTAATCCCTTCTTCGAAAAGTTCGTGTGCCGAGGCATTACAAAATACAATAATGTGCTGCAGCTTCTTCGGATTTCTCTCGATTATGGCGTCGTTATTAAATTGCGAGTTTATTAACGTGTTTTTAATCTAATGTATAGTAGTGTAGTAAATTGATGATGAGTCGTCAGAATGCCACAATCAATATACATTTGCTGCTTCTCCGTGTTGGTTAGGTTTGGGAGCAAAGTCGGATGCGTTGATAACCAAATCCTCCGTATTAGGTCGTGCATGCAAAATTCACCACCTAAGTTGCAGGCTTAATTTATGCTCCAAGGGGTATGTACGTATATAAATACATGAAGTGCAAAGTTTTAACATCAAAAAAGTGGAACAAACGTTCTAATATATAGCTTAAGAACAAGAAAATTAAGGTTCGAACAGTCCGATGGCCACCGTCAAGAAGTCTGTTGCTTCATTCGGGTCCTCCCCTGCAATGCTGGCTTTACTGTTTCTGGCTCTCGTCCTGCAAAACCATGTGGTGAAATCCCAAGAACCCAGCTGCCCAACCACCCTCGCAAACCTCAATGTATGCGTCCCGTTCTTGGTGCCAGGGTCAGGGCCAGCTGATAACCCCCCAAGCGCTGAATGCTGCAACGCAGTACAAGCAGTGAAAGAGGATTGCATTTGCAACACTCTCCAAATTGCTTCCCGTCTTCCAACTAGGTGCAGCCTCCCCGTCCTCAACTGCTGTGAGTACTAATCTCCCTGGCCTCTTTAATTCTACTACTAAATGGATTTTTAAGTTCTTGATCTCCAAAATCTACTGGAAGAATGCATCAGTTACTTCATGAGTTATTTGTGTGGTAATATATAAGTTTCAACTATCTAACAGGATTCTAATGTTTGACTGCTTTTGATTGTAGCAGCAGCAAACTGAGTCGGACGTGGGGTATCGCGGACGAATAATGTCAGGGCTCTCAGGGTCCTCTCCCTCTCAATAATTATTCGCTTTTTTTTTTTTTTTTTTACTTTATTGCTTGCTTTCTTTCTTTCTTTTTTTATTTTATCTTTTCTGCTTTGTGTCTGATCTGATCTGCAGCCCTGGGGGCAGTGGGATGTAATGCAGGTCAGACTTGACGGACGAGTGTAGTGACATGAAACCAATAAAGAACAGATCAAATTTAATAACAGATGGAGCCAACTTACAAAATTTTCCGGGCCCATTATTTCTATTTTCTAATCCTGTAACACTAGTATACAATTTCGGTTACAAACACTGGCGCACATAGAAAAATTACTCCAACTTTTAGTGTGATCCGACGTCGTGTACCCAACGTCTTCCATCTGAGCTTGTCCAACAACAGCAATCGCTAGTCAACCGCAAAGTGAAGCAATAATAAAATATTCTAAGACAAAATAGAAACCTATTCTGACAACAACCTAGGTTGTCAGGCTTCGTTGGCCAGTCGCAATTGTATTCTTCCCAAGTACACATGGAAGTCAGGCACATCGCGAACAGTAATATATACGATGACTTGCTTTTTCTTGATAATTTCGCATAATACACTACTGCATCCTACTGCTACTACTTATAGGGCAGCATATAATGTCAGTGCAGCTGCTGCTTCATGTTTGTGAGCGGAAACAAATCAATTGTTGAATCTACAATTGCTACTTTTGGAGCAGTTTTCTTGTTTTGTGGCTCTACTAGTAGATGGTATCTTCCAATGGCGTCAATTAGAGCCACTGGTATGGGATGGGAGGGCAGCAGAGCAGACAGCTACTTCCCGATCGTCATAATTCAGCTTCTATGAGTGAGGAAACGTACCGGTACTGCTACTGCAAAACAAGAAGCTGACGGCAATCATCTACTAACCTATAAATAGGACAGAGCATTAACTGATATCCAATCCTGATTGAACGAAAACCGGACCCAGTTAACTACCGGGTACTGAAGGAGTCACTTTTCCATACGATTTCTTTCTACACAAACGAGCAAAAAAAGCGTCGTTTTTTGTTTTCGTTTCCTGAGAAGGTTTTTGTTTCGTACATATCAGTCTGATACTTGATTTCGAAAACAAGACAAAACGAAGGAGGGAACGCTCAAATGTGGCAGGAGATCCTGTGATGTGTTGTAAGTTGAGCCCCTTAATTATTAATATACAGCCCAAATAAGAGTAGGCTACAAACCAACAAGTGGAGGGAACAACATAGGAACGACTGGTATTCTAGATCTGGGCTTCCACATTTTTTTTCTTCTTTGACAGGCCAGGCCCAAAGCATCCCTGAGGATGAGAAATGGGGAAGGCAAAATGTGTTGCATGAATGGCTTCTTGGTAATAAGATGAAGTGTAGAGCAGGAGATTCTATTCATCAAAATAGAAAAAGGGGAAATGCTACTCTTATTCTCTTACTGACAGACGAGGGTGGCTTCTAATGCAAGCGGCGGAATTCTGCACGATCAAGGGTTTTTTTCTTGACACTACTCTTATTAGCTTTTTCTTTCGAAACCCTTAGGAAGGGATACTGCTGCTATAGGTGACAGGACCACAGACAATGAATGACCCAAGTGATCATCATGCGCTGTATAAACAACCAATTCTGCGCAAAGTTCTGTCTGCTAAAATATGCGAAGAGCATCCTAAACTCTGAAGGGAGATGTGATGTATTGTAATTAATCTAGAAAAGGCAGCCGTCCTTGTTACTTGAGCTGGTTGAATCATGCTACTTCAGCATTAACTAACTGGTCATGTTATATTATCTCGAACATTTACAACCTTCCTAGATCCTACTTTAGGGTCGAGTATTATATACCATGGAAGATTTTTTTTTTCTTTTCTTTTGGACGTGATACCTGTAGTAAGAGGACAATTTAATATGTGATGATGCCCTTTGAATCTGGTTCACCAGATGTACAGTACCAGCAAAAGGATGGGTGGTTATGGTTCCCCATGGTCCCAGCCTTAGTGCCCTCAATTCCAGGTTTGTTTCTCTTGTTGTCGGGCCATTCCTTTGGTGCAACAATCAGCATTTATCATTTATGAAGCCCTTAAACTCATCCACGATATGGTGACATGAACTAATAATATCTGTAGCTTTCCCTCTAATTTTGGCTGTTTTGTTGTAGTGTACGAGATCAGGGGAATCAAATTGGTGACAAAGCAGAGAGTCACAATTCGAGTAGAGAAACCGCGACGTATAATGACCATGCCGTGACGTGTTCTTTTATTTCTTTGGGCACAACCTGGTGTCGGTTTCAACCTTCAAGGGTTTCAAATTGATGAAGAATCCGTTAATGCCAACTTGAGCATGTCACAAATGAAACCCTTAAAGGTCACAAAAGTAATACTACTACTAATTTGTTCATCAAGATATGCTCTACTACAAACATAATTGTGACTTCCTATCTTATTAGGATTGTCAATTTTTTCTTTTTCTTTTTCTTTTTGGGAGAGGAAGGGGGTGGGGGAGGGGAGGGGAAGCAGTATATATATATATATATATATATATATATATATATATATATATAATACGTTTGTTTGGACAGCTAATTATTTTTTCAAATATATTTATTTACATCATCATTACAATTTTCAATACACCTTTTTATCTTCCAATTATTTTTTTATCTCACATACATCACATCACAAAAAATGATACAGTAAAAATATCTCAAATAACTTACAATCCAAACAAATACATTTTTTTCTCATACACATTATAACTGAATGAAGTGCCATGGTGTTCTAATTTTTTGAATCACGCCCAAAAGCTCCTAAAAGTTGCAAATCCACACAGGGAGCTACTAATGATTAAACTCATTTCTTTATGTGAACGCTTGATATTAATGATTGAACTCTATACCTGAGCTGTTAACATTCTTCTCGTTTTAAGTGGGCTTTGATGATCCAAAGAATTTTAGGTTTTGTTCAAATTCAATCAAAAAAGCATGGTGCTTAAAAACAGCAAAAAGTTTTGATATTCAAATCAAAGTTTTACTCGTTAGGATTGCCATTTTTTTTTTACTCGTTAGGATTGTTCAAATTCAATCAAAGTTTTTTTTTTTTTGTGCTTTATAGGAAAAAAATATATCGTAATAATTTGATATATGTGAGATAAAAAGATGATTGATAAATATATTCGTAAAAAATATAAAAAATTTTTGTTTTTTGAAGAAAAATGACAATCCAAACAATTAAAAGCTTCTCCCATGAATAGGCGCAAGATTTAGTTCATTTATCACTTTATTTCTTTTGTGTAGTACTACTGTTCAAGCGTGTGTGTACACTGTACAGTATCCTCTATTCAAGAAACACTACTAAATTTTGTCAAGAAGGGGAAATAAAAAAAAAAAAAAATCGTGGCAGAACAGTAATGATCACGATCAATCAAAGACACGGGAGACAACCAACCTTACTAATTTAGCCGGTAATGTGGATTAGATTTTGTTGAGGGAATAAAGTTTGGGTTTAAGGTTAATCATTGCTCCGAAATTATAAAGTACAAAAACAATGTACTGTAGTTGTCTTGGGTGGGCAGCGGTCAGTTTAACTGAGGACACGGTCACCAAAGTGTCTTATTTATTATCCGTCAAAAGTCGTCGGCTACGCAGCTTTAAACTCCCGGGTCCCAAATTCCAAATTCCAAATTCCAACCACCACCTCCGCCACCTCCTCCAGTCCACTCCTTTGTTACTCCGTCAATTTTGCCTAGATTTTTTTTCAGGGAAAATGGTCTGTTTCATTCTTCACAAATATAATTTTCCTCACTTTTAAAATAAAGCAAATTCATCCCTGACATTTAAAAATTAAAGTTATTACATTCCTGAACCTAATTTTCAATTTGAATCAAACCATCCAATAACCCAGTAATAAATTTCGAAAATAAAATTGATAGATCATTCGGTCAATTTCATCGTATTCACATGACATTTATTAAACCAAAAAAATAAAAATTATAACATAAAAGACCATTCTTTGTCTTGGAATAGTAGATTTTTTTTTTGATAAATCTTTTCATGCACCGTTAGTATATCCGCTTGCGACTCTAGATGTGTATCATAAATATAAAATTTGGTGTTTAAATTAAAATTAAAATGATATGACGGTACATAAAACCGTCAGTGTATACAATGATAACGTAGAAAAGATTAATCTTTCTTTTTTATATTATAATTTTTTATTTTTTATTTTAGGTTCATTAAATTTTACATGAATATCAAGTTGAGTTAACCAAGTGATCTACCAATTACACCCCCAAAATTTGTAATCAGGTCGATTGGTGGTTTGATTCAGATTGAAATTTGGGTTCAGGGATGTAACAATTTTAGTTTTTAAATGTCAAGGACGAAATTGCTTCATTTTAAAAGTGAGGGACGAAAAAAATATTTTTGTAAAATGTGAAGGATGAAACCGATCATTTTTCCTTTTTTTTTTTATCAGCAAATCTCAATTCCAATAATATTAATAGTAGTAAAAAAATTGATGATTTGCAGAGGTGGTTACGACTCGGTCCAAGAGTTGTTAGCGTGATGCATGCTTTTAAGATTCAACGAAGGGTACTTACAACTGAGTGACTAAATTGCCTCTGAAAAGTTGGGCCAAATAGCTATAACTGTAGTAAATGGTTTAATGCTGATAAATTCCAAAAAGCACACACAAAAACTATAAAAATGATCAAAAATCAAAACAGCCATGTAATTAGAGTATTTCCAGCAGTGATATATAGCCATTTTCACATCATAAACATTTGACAAAATGTATCAGAGTATACGTACTTCAAGCAACTCTTCAACATGCAGATGTAATAATGCAACTGCTTTAAGATCGTGACAGATTCTTTGGCCCCTAATTCTATGTGATTCCAACGCTTTGTTTGACTACATTAAGCGCAATTTTGCTGTTGAAAATTGAAATTTATAGACTGTGAAAGAGATGATCAAATGGCAATGAGCTGATCAGCTTTTTACTCGGCGTATTTTGTGGCTTTTAGCAGCATTTCAGGCGCATTAAATTTTTTTTACCACTTATCCATACATAGTGGGCAATTTAGTCATTTCATTTTTATTTTTTTTTTTTGCGCCAATTGATTCACAATTTTTAGGTTTGACTGGTCTTGGAAGGGTAAAGTGTGTATTGTTTTAGCTCAAGCCTTCAAGGAAGTAAAGTGAGATTAGCTCCATAGTTAGTGGGGGCGGTGCATCCTAAT